CGTTGCTTATTGACGTCGAAAGGCAAAATGATAGCCATATACTTGAGAGCTGCATGGAATATCTCTACTTCCTGCAATATTTGCATAAGAGTGCAAAAAAGCAACAAAGTCTTATGCGCACTTGTCGTAGGAGGACCTTAAGTTTGCGCGGATGTGTAAATAATGCTCAAAATAAAGCATTTCTATTTTGCAAGTAACCACCGTATAGCACAGGAGTTATGTTCCGAAAAACTGCCATGCTATGCGAATCCGTGTTATACGAAAAGGGGGTTTAGGTTTCAAAACTTAAAAATCAACTTAATATATTTTTATAATTAAGACGAAATTAATTAAAATTTTCTTCAGATATAATATTACAATTTCTTTGTCATAACTGAGCTTTCTTTTTGACAAGACATCCTCAACCTTTGAGCATTTTTCTGCAATATCTTCAAACTCATGCTCTCTCTCTTTTGCCAAAAAATCTATTATTTTACACTGTTTGCTTTTAGTTAAAATATCTTCATAGTCTACAGTTCATAGGAAAAATCCTACTGTTAATGGTTTTTTGCCACTACTACCAAGAGCTGATATATTAAATAAAAACTTATGAAATGTTCTCAAGTTTCACTTGTAAGTGACCCTTGTATTGTTTGTTCATTACCATACGAAATCGATTCAGTTCCACGAAACCGCGATTTTTTTAAATTCCAAATTTGTGTTCAGTGGATTAGATGAGAATAGCGGGATGAAATAGACCTGAATATAGCATTCTCTGTCAGAGTATTTTCAAAATCTTTGTAATTCACGCAACCTTAACGTGTTTTATAAGAGATATCAAAGATAGATAGGTAAAAATTCGGTGAAGGAATTCTTATTGGAATCATATGATGGCCTTGTTATAGTTAGTTTCCGTCAAATGATTTATTATATGTAGCGCGTTTAGATCCATGACGATGATTGCCAAATAAATACCAGTTACTCGACTTTCGCCCGAATACCATACACATCTTTTGCGACTGAATAAGAAATTGCTCTTACTCCACTTTACTTATTTCTATTAAGCAAAATTGAAATTTAAGTACAAGCATTTCACTCAACTGTACCGAAGGTAGTAGTGATTCAGGACTATTTGCATTAATATCTGTGCGAAACCATTGATTATTATTTCAACATCCTCTTTACGCATTAACAGGGATGCAGTGTAAAAGTTACTTTACCATAAATTTTCATATATCCCAGCATAAAAGTATTCATGTAGTTGCGGCAAAGGGCAAAACCAAAGCAAAGCAATTATTTATATGCCAAAGGTTTCGCGAGGAGGTGTTAATTTGCCGCAACCTTTCAATCACAAATATTTCGTAAGCATCGCTTGTTTCACTTTTCAAATTATCGCTGCAGTTGTCAGCTTCAATTTTGTCAACTTTCAGAATACGCACACACCCATACATACACATGAATTCATAAAAGCAATTGTGCTCTTAAACTTACAACTATTTCTTCCATAGTAAACATTGAAAGGGAAAAGCGTTGCTAAGATCATTACTATAAAAAAAACAACCATAAATATGCATAAGCATATGCACAGAGTTTGTCGCTATGACGAATTTTATTAACAATTCTTATAGTTTAACTCTAACTTGGTATAATAAATTTCCTCAATGCCACTAAAGTGTATAAGTTTACTGATCCGGCTTAAAAATATTTAGAGTAATCGTTTAAAGACTTCTGATACGTTCTTACTGCAATTTATATATAGAAAGTTGTAAACGTTATTTTGATGATCCGTCAGTCATCCTTATAATGGCAATAACGCGATCTATAATATTAATCAATCTTCAAATACCCAAGAGTTTGCCATTTTTAGAAGATTCCATTTCTAATTAACTTAGTTAGTCAGGTTTCCAGTCTTGATTTTGTAATTAACTTGCGTTTCAGTGCTGATGATCACATCAACCTTATGACCATGCATATAGATAATGATCTAAAGAAGCTTTGGTTATCCTCCTCCTACGTTCCAACTCAAGCTGAACTGAGTTTGGCTACATGTCTTATATCGTAAGGAGCCAACTTTTATGGTCTACGTCTACTATATCTCAAAAAGCAAACTACAGTTGGCTGTCAATAAATGCACTATATACGATTTCGATAAGCGAAAATATGATATGCGCAGAAGTTTTCAAGGTCTCGAATAGATGATATTCCCTGTTCAATAAAATTTTTATTGTATATCTGTTATAGTTTGTGAATAAAGTTAAAAAATGAGTGGTCTTAGTAGAACGTTCTTTGATCGATATAACCCATTTTCAAGCCCAAGCTGCTTGTTTTCAATGTTTAATGCTTTTGGTAAATGTGAGGCCGACATTTAAATTTTTGCACTCGGAAGAATATAAGCCCCAGATGGAGAGGCAGATAGACGGACGTGCATCAATTAATTAAAAATGTAATACTAATCAAGAGTAACCCTTTTCCCTTTTAGATCTTGCAAGGAGAGGCATTCCAAAGATAACCCTGTTTATATCCTACACCTCTCGTAGTACAGAGGTGTATAAAATTTGTGCGAATGTATGCAACACCCAGAGTGATTTGAGATAGACACACCTTTTATTATACTGATCTAACATTATCTGTCCATACGTCCGTTTTGTTTTCTTGTGTGCATCGTAGCGGTAGCAGGTTTCGAGATATTTTGATGACATTCTGTAAAACGATATGTGTTGTCCTTAATGAAATGGTTTAGATCAGGCCACTTATTTCGACCCCTGCTCATAAGACGCCTTATTTTGAAAAGTGCAAAATGTTATATGAATAATTGTAGAAATTTAACAGTAGACCAGGGCCAGCTATAGCGTTTTCACTAGCTTCTCTAATAAAAAAAAATTAAATTTACTAAGAAATGTCCATTGTTTTTTGATCTAAGCGTTTTCTTAACAAGGCATGTTTCTCTCTGCCTTGCTCTACATTCCACCTCCCCCATTTCCTTTCTTCCCCAGCTGCCTATTTTATAATAGCACTTGCTTTTGCTTACTGTCGGCTCAGTCGTTTTCATTCATAAACCAAAACTTTCCATTATTTATAGATTCTGGTTACATAATAGAATATTGTTTCGGTTTAAATTTGTCCTGAGCGCTGATAGCAATTATAGCAGAGTTTTGAAGAAAGCAGGAAACTCTCAGATTAAGCTTGTGACTTTATGAAAGCTGTTAAATTGAAGACGTTCTAAGTTTGCCAATAAAGTCATTGTAAGTGCCCGAGCTGTTATAAGCTTCGAATCCTTTCCATATTTGTAAAACTTACTCTAATCAAAATCTAAACGTATTTGAATTTTAGGAACCAACAAACATGTTACAAAAGGTTCGATTTAGATGGTTTTCACACAAACTCGATAGAAAGTCGCATATAACTAATATTTTCATTGAGTTCGAATAAAGATCTTACCGCATAATTAGCAGACGTTTTTTAACCTTTGACATTTATCATTATCATTTACAATATTAACCAAATTATTGAATAATGTAAAATTCAAGAAATTTTAAATTAGACCACACACACGCACATCAAAAGTGTTAAGAAAAATAACAAGAAAATTATATCCGAATCTTTTATACGTATCACCGCGATCCTAACAAAAAGGAACAAAACTAATTTGTCATATTCTACAAAGTTGAGTGGGCGCAGTTCGTTTTTTCTATTTCCCGAATAAAGGTGCAAATTTCTATGGAAAAAAAAAAAAGTTTATACGCGATGTCTTCATTTTTGCGAACGGAAGAATGTGTACAAAAACTACTACACAGTTTCGCCAGATGAACGGACAAACTTGCTTGGGCGTATTCCAAATTTGAAAGTGCAAATTGTTTAATAATTAAACTATTTGTTTATATTCTTTAAGTAAATTTTTTTGTTTATTTTGTATCATGTTTTAAGAACAGGCGGTCGAAATAGCACCAAATTCAATGGCAAAAACCGAGAAAAAGTTTCAAGAAAAGCAAAAGCAGTTATCTGAAGTGCTCTGGCCGCAAAAGTAATGCATAAAGGTGATGCTAAGATGAAAGTCTAGAAATAGACGCGTTGAAGCAAGTAGTGGCTAAACTAGAATTTAAGGCTACAGTCGATGCTGCGATGAAGCGAATGGATTCCTACATATCAAGAGGCTGCGATTGGGAGATTCGTACAAACAAGAAGAAGAACAGCACTGCAATATTGGAAATAAAATTCTCTGTAAACAATTCGAAGAATTGTAAGTCAAGTCTAAACTATCCTAAAAATCACAATCCGACGGGAAAAATCTAATCTCATGAAGGTTTGTACAAAAACATAAAATCGGAAACAATCATTTTACATAACATAACGTATGTGTAGAATATTTGGTTACGTTCAGTGTTAATTTCAAATTTGAAGTTAACGCAAACGATTTAAATCTCTGCTAAATGTAGATACAAAGCACGCATACTCGAAACAAACAGTTTCCGGGAATTTTTCTATTTCCTTAACGGTAAAGACAAGCATAACGAACATGTTTGAAAGGCTTCGAACATGTTGTGTTTTCAAAACAAGCGCTGACTAACGAGCATATTTAAAGGGGCATAAGATAACGGTAACGAATGTACGCACAAATTTTATAGTAAAAATTTGTTGTTTTTTTTCTTATTTAGTATTAAGTCCGTAATCCTGTCGTGGCCGTTAGCAGTTAAAAACGACGATACACGATGCTAAGAAATCAGTTATCATTTGTTAGACAACGTGGACGGTCACAATGAGAAATATTGAATTATGTATTAAAAAATAAATTGCAAATAATTTCAAATGTTTTGTGTCCATAGTTCAAGTTAAACAAAAATAATGATAACTAAGAAAATGTTTTTCAATTAAGTTTCAAAAATTAAATTTCTTCTTAAAAAATAATCAAAAAAAAAAAAAAAAAAAAAAAAAAAAAAAATTTTTAAATTTAATTTTAAAAATTAAATTTTTTTTTAAAAAAATAATAAAAAAAAAAAAAAAAAAAAAAAGAAGAAAACATTGAACTTTTAATTTTTCATCTTCATTCCCAGACGTAGGTATGTTGATGTTGCATTACGGCGTGTATTGTGCTAAAATCATCATTATAATGCATAATAAATGATGAGATGTGCGTGAGTAATGTTTAATAAGTGATTGTTGTAAGCTGCTTACGAGATAACTTAAATTTCTATAAACGCGTGCATGTTTGTAAATAAACAAAACTTTTTGACCTAAAAACGTAAGTGAAAAATCATTATCATCGTTAAACTTATTACTTGCACCACTTACTTGTCCTTACACCTACCGTCTCCATTCCTCTCTGTGCTTACGGGAAAGTAATTAAATTTGGAACGGTTATGAAGAGTTGATTTAAGGATAGATAGATTGTCGCTAAGCCATATTAAAAGGTTAACTTTGCACCTTTGGGAAAATGTACGATTTTGTTGAAGTGTATATAGCCTAAGTTGTGCTCACGATTTGTATAGATTTTCTTAGCCTCCTATGCGGTAAGAAAACGACATTTATAGTTTCGTACTTAGTTCGAACAAAAGTACCGCGGAATTGTGAGGAATGTTAACAACATGACATGATCCGACGATTATACTACGACGAGACGTTTCAACCCAGTGGAATTAAGCCAATCCGTAAAGGAAGACCCGGCCGGAATGTTAGAGAAGAAGAAGAAAACGTGATGACGACAGCGTTGCCGTGAAAGAACATTACATGCACTAACCTGGCTTGCGATAACAGCGATCGGTTGCTGTATTCATTCGACGGGCTTTACTAAGCCCATCTGTAAAAGGGAAGATATCACAATTACGTGCATGATGACAGTGCTCGATCCTAGAAATATTAGAAGCACCAAGTTGAGATGTAGTAACGCTCAGCTGCTGTATTCTCCACTGCATTTGTTCGATGTTCCGCTTCATAAAGAATCTCGAAATATCTGCCTTTCATATCCTCCTAAAAAAAAAAATAATAAAAAAAAGATATATATATGGGTTATATCATATGAGTCAAGCTAGAAATAAAGCTTTAAGTTTAAAAAATGAGTGTAAAAAATAATATGAAAATTGTTGAATTTTTAAATTATAACTCAAAACTTTGCAAATATTTTTCTTAAACTCGATCTAAGATCTTTACTAAACTTGGTGCCCTTTTCGATTTGAATGTATAGCTCAAATACTTGTGCGTGCTTGCAATTATCAAAACACTATATGTTTGTAAATTAGCTATCAAAGGGAGTATCATTAAACACGCTACATCAACTCGCTCAATACAGTTATTCATCTAACGACCTTTCAAGAAAAGGCGTTATGCGGAAATGAGCAAAAAAGTAGTCCGATCTTAATCAATTTCAACGGCGTTCCTTCTCACGCCAAAGCAGGCCGGTGTGCTATATATTTTTAAAGTAAGTCAAAAATATGCCACGCATATAGGTTGAACATAAAAACCAAACGGACTGACGGACAGACATATGAATGGACGGACAGATATACAGATAGACAAGTTGAGATTGATTCAGAAAGTGACTACGAATCGATCTTTGTAATAAAAGACAATTCTATATCAAGTTCTTTTGTGCGCATTTCATCCGCATAAACTTAATATATTATCGTTCTGCAAGTGGCATATATACCATTGTACTGCAAATGGTATAGCGTAAGAAGACAGCTCAAGCACTTTATCTCCTTATATATATGTAAATACATATCACTTTCTCATTCACATTCATTCAAACGGGATGACTTGCATTGGGTAACTAGTGCCCACAGTCTCAAATATCATGCCCATAGTAACAGATGAAATACGCATGTTTACTTTTATATATTATTATTACCAGTTTAGTCAGAGAATAAATTGCGAGACTAAAGTCTTAAATCACTAGCATCAAGGCTATCAGCTTTATTGAAAACTCTACTGTACTTGAGATTTGATCATACACGACCGTTGAGTTGCTAGTCGAGACTCTTTGCCTACTCGGCGGCTCAGGCGGATTTACTTCTATATAGAAAGGTGCTTTCATAAAAAAAGCCAGAAGTTAGACGGAGCTAAATCATACACACTGGTCTATCTCGGAACGGCATGAAACGAAAAAATTTGTATCGCGATAACTGACGAAAACGTAGTCTCTTGTTTCGAGCATAATCACTGATAGATCACTAACCATATGTTTCTACTAGGCAACGGTAAAACCGGCCATATAATATTTTTGTGCCTTTTTGATATTCGGACGTTTAAGCATGCAAGTCGAAGAAATACTTACGATTTACTCCTCAGCAGATTACTGAACATTTTTGACCATTGTAGTCGGATATTATGCAGCGCTAGAAAGGGAAAATTTATAAAAATTGAAATAAAATAAAGAAGATGTGGCAAATAAACAAAGGCAGGCTTATAAAAGAACTTAATTATTCTTGTAGGGGAGCACAAAAGTTTGCTGATTCATTTTGGGGTTTTCGTAAGTTCGTCAGACTGTTTTAGGTCAAAATTGCTATTGGCGAAGTCTTGTTGTCACTTTTGCTTCAGTACACAAAATTTAAAACAAAGTGACAGAAACTATGTGTAGCACATAGCAAATATTAATAAACGAGGCTATAGAGTTTTTAAAAGGAAAACAGATATGTACATGATCCCAGACTATTACGTTTTACCAGTCAGGATCTTTTTACTAACAGCAATCATACAGAAATGATTTTAAAAAAAAAAAAATTGAAATTTTAGATATTAATGTTAGTTATTTGAGTTAGAAAAGGCAAAGAAATCAAGGCAAGCAATTAAGGATTTGTAATGGACTGCAATTTAGAATGTTGGAGTATAATTTCATTAAAAAATTAAAGTGTTTCTGTTAATAGTTCTTTTCCAATAAGAATATTGTGATGCAAGAAATTTAAAACAATATTGTTGATAACAAAATTGATTATTTTACACTGTCAATATAAGAAAGAAAAACATTAATGAACTCATCCCACGATGGCCATCGTTGAGTGCGTTGAATTCATTGATGTTCGCATCTCTTTATAAGGTGGAATGCCATTCATCAATGGAAAAGAATCAGAAAGATGATTGTTGAACTCTAGCCGATACGACATAAATGATTTGAAGTAACTTAAGGATTTCGGTCCAAGATTCCATGATTTCGTCAGACTTAACCACACTTGAAGCCTAGTTGTTGCATAGTAGCCAGCTGCTTGGATTCAAGAAACCAAGACGATAGTCTCATTCGATGCGGACATTTTCAGTCTTTGGAATCGGAGCAACTATTGCATGATTATGATATGCGATCGAGACCGACTGACCTCCCTTTTGATTTGAACAGACAGCTTTTAAGTTCTATAGCTGATAAAGAGTTTTCTAGGAATATGGCACATGGTCTGTCATTAGGACGAGGATCTTTTATTCTTAAGCCATTGACTATGAAGACACCGGAGAAATTGCTGTTAGAGGAATATTCATGTCATATTTCGTCAAAGAGGATGAGAGATCTCATTTTCCTCAGTTAAAGTTCCATTGGGATATTTTACATTTCTTGCCGGATTCCTTTTTTTTTTAAGGTTACGTTACGTTTTTACGAAATTACTTCAATTGATAAAATTCGTACCTCGTGGTTATTCTGGCTTATGTTACATGCTTTTCCTTTTTGATCAGGATAGTGTACACATCAATAATGTCTTTATTATGATATAAACGATAATATTGTGATAATTTAGCGGACATTTTGTTCACTTCAATTCTAAAGTCAATTATGGATGCTAAGCTAAATTCATTAATTTGTAATGTAATATGCTTCTACTAGCTTAACCTTTAACTGGGAATAATTTTGTGGAATAAAGTCCAACATTAATTACATGTCAATTATATTCTTGTTCTTCTTAGAAATTTCAAAGAAAACACTTTGTTTGCTTGGTTACTTTGAAAGCCATTAGGTATTATAGAGCGGAAACCCCATAATAGTCAGAAATAATTCCATGAATTCCATAAAGGAATAAAAAGTAAATTTTACTTTGAAATTTACTCTAAGCTTTTAAAGTCTCTAATATCATTATATGATTATATTAATAAGTTAAGCATTTTCATAAAATAACGTTTTGGGTGATTCTCTGAACTTTAAGAACATGCAAGAAAAATACGTTCGTCTTTTAGAGAAAATTTTTAGCGGCCATTACTTTAAATTCACTGAATTACAGAATAAGAAGAAGAAGAAGATAACCATTAGATGGCTGAAAACATTTCTACGCATTTTCTTTTTACCTGAGGTATGTAATATATTGGTAGAATTTGATCACTATCTGTCATAGTGTGCTGTGGTGAGTTGCAGTTTTTTACTTATAATCCATGGGATTTTGAACCGGTCAAGTCCATTTTAACAAAGCAGCTTTAAATTGTATTAAAAGTTATTATTTTTTCCTATTGAGACAGGGTTGCGCACATCTGATCTGCGGTTATTAACTAAAACTAAATGCACACGAAACCTTAGCTTTATATTCCAAGTTTTGTGACATGAGCTTTGAAACAATAAACTATCGAAACACGAAGTAACACCTCACTCAATAAGTCTTATGAGATCACTATGATTTTCAGATTATATGAACTTTCAAATCAAGCGATTCAAAATTTTATGACATGCCCACGGTTAACTTATAAGTTTCAGTTATATTAGTGGCGCTACTTTTATCCGGGTCTCTTGGTGTTATCTCGTATTACAAAATGGGAGACAAGTTAGCGTATAAAGCGCTCCTTCGCGATATATGTAACAATAAATGTTTTTCTTTTGCGAGAACCTTGTAATTTATTCACCCTTGTCGGTGTTGTAGGGCAACTCCGACTTGAAAAATTTTAAGAAATGAAGGATGAAGCAATTTATAAATATTGGCAATGGTAAGTTAATTTTTCCAGCAAAGTGTCTTCAAAATAGAACTATGCATGAAGAACGGTACGATATAATTCTTTTTCATGTCAATACATCATACATCATAAAAACATATCAAAAATTGCTCCCTGAAGATTATACACAAAAAAGAAGTCGGACAAATAAGATTAGATTGTTTAAGAAGGTGAGTTTAAAGTGAGAGTGAGGACGAGAATATACAAAGTAGAAATATTTCGACATAACTCTTTTTCCTGTTTATGTACCAAATATCATAAAAATATCAAGAATATCGGGGCATGTAAGTTGAATACAAGACAACAAGACGGACAGAGGGACAGTCAAGTTTAGATCGATTGAGAAAGTGACTCTGAAGTGAGGTTAGATAGGAGAATATATGGAAAGACATCGATGCCGGGACAGATAGACGGACATATATACTAAAATCGATACTAAGTGTTTTTCCACTTAATACTTTTTAAAATTGAGTTTTATACGAGGAGTTGCCAAATATCATGAAAATATCTCAAAAATCATGGTCCCTAGATTGAACATAAGAAAACACGGCGAACAAATGAACAGACGGACCGATCAACTTAGATCGATTCAGAAACTGGTGATTGCTATATGTCAGACGGATAGACAGACAGGCGGACAGATATACTAAAATCAATTGCGAATCGATTGATAGAAAAGAAAGAAAGATCGGTCTAATTTAAGTCTCATCTTATCGACAAAAGTTAACTTCTATCGAGAGCCGCCTGCGATGCAAATAATTATATCGCGCAAATGGATAAACTTTGCTGAAAGTTGTCTTATTTTTTAACAAAAGCAAACAAAGACTCAGTGCCAGAAAGTTTCCACTTGACTATTTAGGGCCATGAATGGCTTTAATTACATGAACAGTGCCTATCCGAAATTCTCTTCAAGGCAAATACAGTTCTCTCCTTTTTTTTTCACAATAAAATATTTTTAGATTATATTTTGCGAACTGAATAAAGTGACATATTTTTACGAATTATTTAATGCACGCCATCTAACTCTGTACATATAGATGTAATTTACAGTTAGTAAAACTAAAAATTAATTATATATCGTTCTCGTGCATAATATAATATAACTATGAAAAGCATATGTATGTATTATAGAATGTTTCACACTAGCTTCAAGTATTAAGATTGCATGAATGATAAATTCGTGTAAAAGCAGAGAAATAAAAGTAACACATACTCTTAATATAAATGACGTTTAAATGTTATTTAATAATGTACTTAAACAATGATAAAGTCTAGACCGTAGTGATGGTATGCTTGCACGGTAAGCATTACCGAATATATCGTTAACTCATGTTGCGCATATTAAAAATCATTTCAGAGTAACAGCTGTTTTCAATGCCTTACGATTCATATACGATTCATATGTGTGTTTTCAGATATTTTATAGCTCGACATATATAATTTTCATTTATACATATACAAACATAAAATCACAATTCTGATATAAAGCTAGTTGTTTATATCAACTTGTATGCTATTTACTCATATGCTATATATATATGTGCTCCGTCATTCGTGAATAAACAACATGTGTAAACATTCATACACGATACACGTGTAAACATAAATTTGTAGATATATATAAACATATGTTTATGTATATGTTTGCGATTTATGAATACCTATGCCATCTTATTGCTTCTTGCCTTCGAAGTTTAAGGATTATAGCAAACAATATTTGAACTCATATGCTTTCCTGTATTACGTATATAAGGATCTACATTAAATTTTAAAAATTTCGTACTAAACATTTCCTTCACACTTCCTTTACTATGGCTTTATGTGTTCTTTCCTTTTTTTTGTCTTCTATATATAACTAAGAGGAGATTTTAGTTTATTACATTTATAACGTAGGAAAGCATGCACTGCACAGGCAAAGGCCCTTTAAAATATATATATATATATATATATATTGTCGTTCATAGTGAATAACGGTATCTCCTCGTTGAAATCACGTTTACGCTCCCAGTAGTTTGCTTCGAGCGACAAACTTGTCTTGGTTTAAGTTCGGAAAACAGAACATTGGGCAAATATAGATTTGATTTCGCAAAATGCTGCCAATTTGTATAAAATAATGGAAAATATGCTGGGTATTAAAACAAGCATGACCAAAGCTAGACATTTTAACTCTCCTCCGTCTTGAATCTGCAGCTTGCTTATGAAATTAAGTGGGAATCCTATCGATCCGTTGGGCTCTACGTCATGTCTGGGAGTGATTTTGGATCGCAAACTCAACTTTGAGAGAGATATGTCTGACGCTACCTGCACTTTCCAGTTTGAAGTTAAATATACAATCGGGCAGGGCCTTCTCATGCGATATAACAATTGACTATCGTTTCGAAGTTATGCCTGACTGCTGCTATTCATCCGTCTCTACAAAAGCTCTACGTGACTGATATACACA